AGGATACGGGATAGTTCTAGAAACGTGGCGTCACACCAGTCATGTGACTCGCTGACGCAACAGTAGGAACAAGGACTTTTCAAAGTTTAGAAAGGATTAGAGTGAACATCAATACATACATTAAAAAACGTTAAAATACTACCGAAAAGTTGGTCAATTTAGTGCCACGTATCAGTGTAAAAAAAAAAAAATTGTCCTGTATAAAAACTGAACCGAGACTGACTTTTACTATGAGGTCGGTTCTGGACTTTCATGTTTTAAGTAATATTAAACTTGAACGTTTTTACGCTCTTCTGAAATAAATTTCTTTCTTTCTCATAAATCATCAAATTGTTTTAAAAAATAAATAAGCCCTTGGCAAAAGAAAATAGATTGGACTCGTAGACGGTCAATTCCACTACTAAATTAGGGACAGCTGGCCCTCGTGAAGCTTTGTGCGAAATTCATAAAACAAACAATACAATATTATAATAAATTATTCCAAAAGGTTTTTGGTTCTGAGTTAAAATCCAAATATTGAAATCGTACGAAAAGATTGTGAGTGGGGGCATAACTTACTGTAATATGGTAGGTTTATTTTTTTTAAATATGTAACATAAAGAAATGCTTCATTATACCATGTACTTACCTTGGTGTTTGTGAAACCAAACTATTGGAATATGTGCAGTATGTCCAATGCGCATATCAGAAGTAAAAATGAAACGGCCATGAATTATAGATTCAAGAAGTTTTCATCCCAGTTACTCCTCGTGTGTATTTGAGGAAAGCTAAACATAAAATCAAAACAACTAATTAAATTATGACAGTAATTTCTGATTACGACAAGGACATTCAATTACAGAGGAAATTATTCACATTCAGCATCAATCATAGAGATTGTTCGGTGATTGGAAGCCATCTTGTGACATATATTTTCATTTTGATTTGTATCACTAACCTGTTATAATTAAATCACATACAACTAAAATATTAATACTGAATTAAACCAACCTGTTCCTGAGACAAAAAGGAAACATGTATACGTATGTGTGTATCAAAACACTACAATATTTAACATTCTTCAAAGTCTAAAAAAAGAACACTTAAGTATTTTGCCCCCCCCCAGTGGCACAGCAGTGTGTCTGCGGACTTATACCGCTAGAAACCGGGTTTCGATACCCGTGGTGGGCAGAGCACAGATAGTTCTTTATGTAGCTTTGTGCTTAATAGCAAACGTTTAACAAAATAGTTTAAGTATTTCAGTGTTTTGTTATTCGTATCCATAGGTTTGTTTCTTTGTTGTAAAACAAAGTCACATTGGGTGATCCGCTGGATCCATCTCGGGGACTCGACCCTCGGATTTTATCGTTGTAAGTCTGTAGACTTACCGCTATACCATGTGTTTTGATTTATATTATATATAACCAACTAATCTAAAGTAGCTTGTATTTCTTAAAGTTTTTGAGTGTAACACATATTGTTATTTACTTAATTGTTTTAAAAAATAACGTACATGTTTCCTTAAATTAAAATAGTTCAAATATTACCTGTCGGTTTCCCAAAATATTGTTGCGTAAGCAGTCACATGACTACAGTGACGCAACGTTTCTAGAATTATCATGTACTTTGGCGAATGCTCTAGTATTTACTAGTAGGGTAGGCTGGTATATATATAAGAGGGGAAAACGTGACGCGGTAACAGAGGTAATGTGTGGATAAGTAGTGAGTAATTGATCTGCGGTCGGAGTATTATTGACGTTCGTTGCTATAGCGTTTGTTTAGCGCGATTGTTGAGTGTATCGGTTAAGTTATATTCGGAAAGAATAAACCAGTTTTATTAAGTAAAGACTTGTGTCGTTAAAGTTTCGTTGGAACAAAGTTACGGAAAAATCAATTAACAAACGGAGACGTAACAATATAAATTTGTTGTGTTGACCCTACATGTAAAATCTTTTGTCTGCAGTTGCCAGTCGCTCTTGATTTTACTTCAAAGGTTCAACGGATATTCAAATATATTATCATATTAAACACAAATACGTAACTAACATGACTTACCATGACTTGTTTTGTTTTGATTATATTTAAATAATGAAAGTCTAACGAAAAATTAATTAAGATTAAAAATAATTACCTGAGTTTAATCAACAGATGGTGTTACTTGCTGCGAACTAAAAGGCCTCACTCGAAGGCAACACATTCCAAAGAACAATAACTCTTTCAGAAAAATAAAACTGTCTTAGCTGATGATGACTACTCTGCCAAATTTTATATTTGTGTCTCCCAGTCCTACAATTAATTCCAAAAAAAAGAAAGATAATGCATCGACATTATCAGTTTTCTTAACAGTGTTTGAGATCTCAATCAAATCCCTCCCATACCTTATTTTCTCAAGATAAAACAATTTCAGAGATCTTAATATGCTCTTGTATGGCGATGTTTACATCCCAGGTATCATATTAGTACCCCTCCTATGAACCGTTTCGAACAATTCAATTTTCTTCCTAAAGAGCCCATGACCAAACAGTTACTTCTGAAATTGTACTCTGTGAAAATAAGAGTTAAAAGCTGGTTTCATGTCTTAACAAAAAATCAATGGTATTTTAGCAATAGCAAAACATTGTAATACTTGTAAGAAAACTATTTCAATTTATTTCTATAAAACCATTTCACCCCTGTCGGACTTTTGGAAGTTGAATACTTTTGCGCCCTCTGTGCCATAACAGCTATAAGCAGTAAATTCATGACGTAATTTCTAGAGTTAAGGCATTCCTAAAATAGTGAAAATAAGTATGGTAACAGTAACAGTTGGTATGTTAAAAATTCGTTATTTTGTATTAGAATACGATAAACGATACTAGTTTAATGTGATAGTATCAATTATCTGTTTTTCTATTGAAGTCAGTTTACGTAAATATACGATATTGCTGAAATACATTAGGAACAAACGAAATGTGAGTAACGCTAGCACTGTAGACTGTAGTGTAGCACTTGCACGTTGCATACTACTACTACTACTTAGAAGTAGCACCAATCAGTTGAAACACAGCTAGATCCTGCTCTTGGTTATACAATAAAACTAAAAGTAAAACGAACCCCAATTTGTATTTACCTTCTGCAACTTCGAAATTGAAGGAAGTTAGCTAACAGTTAGGTAAGTTATTGATAAGTTTGTTTTGTTTTTTAGAGAATGTCATTATTGAGAATTTATTGATAATGGTAAAATTTGTGTATGCTTGGAAAATTATTATCAAAGTGACAACTCATTTTAAGACTAAGATTTAACTAGGTGAACTACTAGTAGTAGTAGTACTACTGAACGTTCAGCAAGGACGCAAGAGATATTTTAAACATTATTTCATGATATTTGTTAAGTGAGATTTACCTGGCAGATAATGTAATATGTAATTTTGAGATAAAAGTGTTTCAGGACTTGTGTTGCTTGGCTGCATAAGTTTATATTTGTTTTAGAGATGTGTTTTGATGAACTTGGTATTCCTTAAAATATTAGGGGAAATTGTCTTTGTAATTGACCATCACATAAAACCAGATATAGTATGTACAGGGATGATATACATATTAGCATGGAGCTAAGGTATGGAAGATTTTTTTTCATGGGGAGGCTGCACTTTGTTTGCCCCCCCCCCCATTTTTCTCTAAAAGGTAAGGAAAAAGTAATTTAATCTTTTGTAAAATGAACTAAAATAATTAGTTATTAGCTTGATTGTTGATAAAATTTACTTAGATTTTCATAAAACTATTAAAAGGGCCAGTCTGAGGGCAGCTGCAGCTCCCCCATCCTGCATGCTTATCAGCCCTGCCCCCTAGTACTTATCAAGCTCTATTTTGAACTGTTCTGTTCCTATCATAGTGAACACATGTAAAAGCAATCTATTTCAAAAGCCAACCACCATGTTTGGAAACAAAATTTCTCTAATTTGCAGGTGTCTTATACCCTGCCAAATCTGAAATCTTTGTTCCACAGTCTTACAACTCTTACCATTAAACATACACACAAATGATGCTGCATCAATCCTATGTATTAATTTTTAATTCTGAACACTTCAATCAGATATGCTGTAATCTTCCTTTTCCCAAGATAAAATATTTTATTTAGACCTTAACCTGCTTTCATATGACTGTTCCTCCATTCCAGGAATTATCACAATATCACTTCTTCAAACCCTTTCATTGACTCAGTGTCCTTCTTAAAAGTAAGGAGCCAGAAACTGAACATCAGGGGCTGTTACAGGCTTTACTAAAAATTGCATTTTGTGACAACAAATCTTACTTATGGGGATTTTTTTTTATGCTAACATTTTATCCTAGTAAAATTTTAACATACTATTTCATTCACATCTTTGTTACAACATGGCATCTGTTTACTCAATAAAATTACTGTGCAATTAAAATCACGGGTATTTATTTTTTGCTCTAACACATGCCACATAAATGGTAGTAAAAACTAAAATAATTAAACTGGGTTTTGGTTTTGAAGATTGGTGATTTTTTCACTCCAACTTCTTACGAGTATTATACAGAGCAATTGGTGCTGAGCACAATATTTTGAATGAGGCCTGACCCAGATCTATACAAATAGTCTCATTTGAACTTATACGCAGTATTCCTATAGATACAACTCCAAAAATCCTATTTGCTTTCCCACTACCAACAATACACTGTTTGGAAGGTTTAAAAGACTGGAAAGGCTTGATAAATATTTAAATATTAAGGACTGGCTTTGATCGTTTAAAGTTTAGTTTTGTGGATGGAACAGCTTTGATGGGCTAATGGGCCCCTTGTTCTTTAAAGAGGCTACTGCTCATGTAGATGAGGATAAGGGTGTGGTTTTGGTGTATTTGTATTTTTAGAAATAATTGGAAAAGGTGTCAGTGAAAGGCTTGTTAAAAAGATTGTGGTTATGGGGGATAAGTTGGCTCAATGGATAGAAAAATGGTTTGATGGAAGAGAGCAGAGGGTTGTTATAAATTGGATTGATTTCACAAGTATTATACCCCAGTATTCAGTGTTTAGGACCCTTTGCTCTTTTTGATTTTGATGGGAATAACTTTAACCTGTTTTTGAAGTAAGTTATATTGTTGTTCTGGATGATTAGTCACTTAAGTCATCTAAGAAATGTTGTGTTGCTAGTTGTAAGGCAAACAGGATTTTATTTAGAAATACTGAATACAAGTCTCAAGAGGCTATAATTGTATTGTATTGGTTGGGCCACATTTGGAATATTGTGTTCAGTCCTTGCTTTAGGAAGGGCATCAGGAAGGGTTCAGAGGAGGGTTACGAGTTCCAGGATGATGCCTGGAAGGAAAGGTTGTCATAAAATGACGAGTTGAGATCTCTCAAAATTATTTTCTCATGAAAAAAAAAAGAGAGATTTTGATTGAGGTGTTTAAGATTAAGAGAATTGATAGTGTTTATATATTATTTTTTCCATTTTTCTGGAATGTTTTTTTTTCCAGATAAAGTGGATTCAGTTAATTTTAAGGGAATTTAATATAAGGCTCAATACATGTATAAATACAGTGCTGGATTTGGGTTTTTATTTAGTGGATGGAACCGTTTATATGGACCAATAGAGCCCTTGTTGTCCCTTACGTTAATAGCTTGATTGAAGAATGGGATCTTGGCATAGTGGTAGAAAAGTCACTCGAGCCATTAAGGCAGTGTTCTGTTGCTAGTAGCAAAGCTAATTAAATTTAGTTTGTATTCATGATCATACTGATTACTGATACTAGTCAAAAGAAGTAATTATCTCTTCATACAGATCATTAAGCAAGAATTCACTTGAAATAACATGTTCAGTTTTGATCTTATTTAAGAAAGGATACTAGCTTACAGAAAATGATTCAAAGGTGGGCTACTAGGACAATTCCAGGGATGGAAAGGTTATCTTGTAGGAATAGGTTAAGATCTCTTATTTTCTCTTGAGAAAACAAGGGTGAAAGGTGATCTTACTGAAGTTTATAAGATATTTGGTGTTGTGCTCTTGAGTCAGAAGAACTGATCTTGTATTTTTTGTTTAGTTGGAAAGTATTTTTTAAGAGATATTTTCTGTTTTTTTTGGGTTGCAGTGCTCAAATACATTACAGGGTGCTTTTTGGGTTAACTAAGCCTGTTTTTTATTCTTTGGTTTGTTTTTCTGATGTAAAAATTCTTCGGAGTTGTCATATTTTACAACTAACATTTCGGGTTTTATTCATTATCCGTTATGAAAATTGCCTGCATTGAGGATCATACTGATATCACAAAAATGATCCTGCCATTACACACACTATACAATATATATTGTCAATTTGCCTACGTCATAACTTAATCCTAATTAATAACCTCTTATTAACTTGCCATTTTTAGATAATTTTTCATGCTTTCTGAAGCATTTAACATCAGTTGACTTCTCCTTTGTGTTCATTAATGTTTAGCATCATTAGTTGCTTCATTCGTATAGTTGAGGCACAGTGAAAAATTGTAATATTTATTATGTCAGTTAAATACTTGTATCTGTCGCACGATCGGAGTTGTGTTATGTGAAAAGTTGTTCATTCAATTTCAGTCTACTACAGTTTATCATCAGTGCCGGATTTAGACTTGGTGAGGCCCTAAGCTATATAAAGCTTGGAGACCCCTTGTTAAAAAGTTACACCAGAAGGTCTCACGAAGGTGCGTACCAAAACAGGACCTTGGGTCATCACAAACAAATTAAAAACATATATATGCCTTTTAATTATTTAATAGCAAGGTATTTAAAGTGAAAAATACAAATTATTTTCAAACGAATGCATTTACTGATTACATATTTATCAATCTGAAATTTTGTGAGGCCCCTGCGGATTGTGAGGCCTTAAGCTGTAGCTTGTTTAGCTTATGCCTAAATCCGGCACTGTTTATTATGCTTCACATGCTCACTGTTTTGAGTGAAGTGCATTTAACATTTGTATTTATTTATATGGAGCATAGTTAGTTTTTTTCATTTACAGGTTTGATCATAGTGAAAAGCTCTAATATTTAGTATATTATGTTAATGTTTTTAAATTTCATGCGATCTGAATTGTGTTTCTTAAAAGTTTTTTTATCCACTTCCAATCTCCAAGAGTTCATTATGCTTCACATATTCTTTTTTATTATTTTGTTTGGGGCAGAAATGATCCATTTTCAATCACTGTGCAAGACATTGTGATTGTAACATTCCGAGTTATAAACATTATGAACTACAGCGAATATTTATTTACAGCTGGCTTCATTAATTATGATGCTGTTCAAAGTTTTGGGGATGATAAATAAACATGAAGATATGTCTTCACAGTTTATATTCTGAGGCTGTAATTGGTGAAATTAGCTTGTGCTTTGCCATCAAGAATGAGAGTGATGTTCAGGCTTTTTTAAAACATGAGGAAAGCCTTTAGAAATATAACTTATGAAAACACCTGGATATTCAAATACCAATTATTGGTTTGAAAATTCATTAAAAGGTATTATTAATCAGCTATTTGCTTCGTCTCTAGCATGGATTTTATTTTGATATCGTGTTTTTGGATGGATTTAATGGTTACAGAAAACTTGTGTGTGATCGATAGCAAGTTCTCTGAAGATGTTAATTATTTGGTCGCTGATTTCTGAGAATGTACAGTAAGATATGCACCAGTCAAGTGTCTTGTTGCAGGTTGTTCAATTGGATCTTGGGTTCATAGGTTTGTATGCTGTGTGATTTTTTTGGAGTTTTGTTTTTTTGTGGATAATTGTTTTTACATTTGTTTTTTTCATCACACCACTACACTTGTACACATAAACAGACAACACATTTGCAGAATTCACCTCTATAGAACACATACAACTTATTCAAAAAAAGCCATTACCTCAATATCATAAAAAAACTATACAAATTTCAAAACCAAAATTTCCATTAAAAAAAAAATTAAAACATTCATACTGGCCCATATATCTCTTGAGATTATTAAATCAAACAACAACTTAACATACTAAACACCTAATTAAAACAACTACAAAACTCTGTTAACTCAGTAACCTTGGTGGTGAAGTTAACTAATTCAACCAACTTACACAAACTCCTCGCCCCTGAGACAACACATTTGTAGAATTCACCTCTACAGAACATTTATGTGTACAAGTGTAGTGGTGTGA